TCACACCCACACCACAGGCTATCAGTAAATAGCACCCAGGCCAAACATTAAAAGGGTACATGTTAATTTCATAAGCATGGACTGATATATGATTCCTGCTGCAAAGACCTTCTAATGCAGATTAAACATGACCTGCAATCAAAGACAGGAGAAYGGGGATTTTAAGGAGAAGCTTGGCAGCAAAGAAGGGATGGTGACACTTAGAAGAGCCATCTGGAGGYACAAAGGGTGAATAATTTGTTGGATGCCTAAGAAATTCAGAGATAAACCGTAATATGATGGGAGTGATGGATACCACAGAAGGTAACAGGACTGCAAGCATCTGCAATGCAAATCCTCCTGTGAGTACTGCCTAATATTTGTTAGGCACAGCTAAAGATTCGATCCCAGACATTAAAGATATGCATGGCCAACCACAGCAACAATACAGGAATTCATAGCTTCAGAAAAACTMCTCCTCTTCCCACGTTGTGCCTCGGTTGAAGCCGGCCAAAGTAGGTCAAAGGGAATGAGCCCATTTGAATATGTAAATTCCACCTAACAAGGAGTGAAGATAATTGCTGCGAGTTGGCGAGTTCAAGCTAAGAAAAACAGGTCTTCACGGTTTCTTTGGGAGCTTTGGCTTCACCACTCCCTGCGACTTCCCCTGCTTGCCCACCTTCATCGCCTTTCCTCTCCCTGTCTGCCCAATGAACGCTCGGCAAACACGCGCTTCCCAGAACTGTCCCCATTTTGTGATCAGAAAAGCAAACTCAGTAAGGTCATTAAAAAAGCTCACGCATAAAAATAGTGAGCTCTGAATGGCTGCTGAGAGCCTGAGCTATGTGTGTGCAGTTCCCCATGGCTAATTTTCAAACAAGCAAGAAGACGCATCTTTTGTCTGCTTGCTGCTGTATTTATTTATTTATTATTTTTTGCCAAAGGGAACAACTTCAGCTTCCAATAACTGAAGACAGGCTAAAACTGCCTTCCCTGCCCCCTCCACTGCATCACAAGTGGCTCATATCAGGACGGAATGTCAAGAAAAGGATTTTTTTTTTTTAATATAAAGAAAATCATTTAACTAGGGAGAAGAAACCAAGGAAAATTGTTAACAGCGAGATTTGAYTTAACTCTTCCTGGTTTGAAATCCACCCTCTCTCCCTCTTCCTATGCTTTTAATAGCAGCATTCCAGCAAATGCTTTTGAAGTCGGTGTGCTGTATCTTTGAAATAACACACAGTCCTGAACCAGGAGCCAGCTTGATATTTCTACAAACATGTGTAGAAATAATACCTTTTTTCTTGACCCGGTTAAACTGTTATGAATCCAACAGCAATCCATCTGTGTCCTTATCCTTTGCCTCTAAATAAAATTTGTGAGTGCAGCGTATCTCAAGGAAAGAAATAAGGAACCAGCTTTAACCTCTTGACTGACCATTTCACCTCTGATTTAACTGTTCAAGGCAAACCCAGAAACACATTGGTTTCAAATAAACATCAACCAGGCAATTGCTCATTACCTTTGCAACTGGGCAGGCCCTGCAAGGGAACCTCCTTTCCTCTTCTTTTTTAAACTACTCTTATTTTCGTTGGCAGGACATAAGACTATAGAAGAAAACTTTCAATTAGAAAACTTTCAATTACCTCTGCAATCTCGTTCAAGCACACTGACAAAACTGTTCATGGAGACCGAACACTTGCAGCTTACGGAGACCACATTAGCTGTAGGTCCTCCTGAGCACGTTTGTCTTCRTTGAGGTGGAAACTATCTGCTCTGGACATAAAAAGACAACTTTAGTCTTCAGCACAACGCAGAGCAATGCGCTAGCATCAAATTAAGAACACATCACCCCAAATTGCAATCCTGACTAATTCCCTTAAGTATTACTGTTGTGGGTTGTGCGCTGGCAGCCCAGCCCCCTGATGACACAGTGCTAATAACGGAGTCCCTGAGCTGCRACAACGATATGGGCTGGGGCCGCCTTATGGGCACGTCTAATTATGATGTTCTGTGACGAGGCTATCAACACTGGTGCTCCCACAGGTGAAGACCTGATCGGACTGAGCAGCGAGCGCTCTGGCCAGGGTTTCACCCCCTCGCAAACGACAGACCGTCGCTTGCTGGACTCAGAGAGCTGTTTGCAGCCACGGGAGCCTCATAAGCCTAACCCCCGGGGAGCTGAAGCGTGGAAGCAAGAGAGACTTCATAAGCACATCCAGCACATTGGGAAAATTGCCCAAGGGAAGGACAGAAAATATGCCCAAATGAAGAAGCCTGGTGATAAAATCCAAAGACCACCTGAGCAAGGGGCAGGAGGGACAACTTATTAACAGCCTGACATTGATGGGCTGAATATAGGCCTAGATGGTGAAGAAAGCAATTTGGCCTTTACAAGGCCCTTATTTAAGTAGYTGTTTGAGGAAAAGTAATTGTTGGAAGGATTTCCTGAGCAATGGGGAAGATGATTAAACTTCCATATGGATTTCAGGATTCTGTTCTTCAAAATCATTACTATAAAACTCTAGACTCACCCCCACGTACCACCCTCTGTGGTGGGAGCCCCTTTTTCTCTTCTTTTTCTCTCCTTAAAAACCACAGCCAACAGAACGCCTTCTGCTATCCCATCTCATTTACCGTTTGTTTTGTCAAAGAAATGACAGTCGCTCACAACTTGGAGCAGAAGGAGAAAATTAACTGCTGCCTCAGCCAACGCACTGCACAGTTGTCAAACTCCTGCAAATTCTGTCACAAGCCTTAGAGCTTCTGTCTTGAGTCCCGGTGTTTCTGAGGCAGCCTGGAATTACTTCCTCTCACTATAAAGGGAGGCCCTTAAGGCGCCGAAGGACACGACGCTGCGCTGAGGCCGAGGGCAGGCTCGGCCGTGTCCAGTCTGGTTGGGCTCGGGCTCCCCGCCGCCTCCGGGAGCCCCCGGAGCCCTGGGGAGCCCGGAGCGGCGCCACGCGCAGCCGGGACGCGCCGCGCTCCCTCACAGCCCGCCGCGCTCCCTCACAGCCCGCCGCGCGCCCTCCTCTTCCCGCCCTGCCCGCGCTACGCACTGCCCGCTATTCCCGAAGCGCCCCTACGCACAGCGCGCGTGCGCGCTCCACACAGTTACGCACTCGGCACGGGCGGCGAGGCGGCACGGGCGGCGAGGCTACGCACTCGGCGCAACGCCGGGCTCCATTCCCCAAGCCGCTTTACGTCAGCGGAGGGGCCGGCGCGGGTGGGGCGCTACGGAGATGGCGTAAGGAGGCGCCGGGACGTGGCGGGGAGGCGCCGCCGCCGCCGGGATGTGGCAGCGGGCGGTGTGCGTGGGGCTGCTGGCCCTGGCGCTCGGCTACCTCTGCGTGCTGGGCCCCGGGCTGGCCCCGGCCGCGCTGCAGCGCCTCTCCGCCTCGCTGCTGGGCGGCCTGCGCCGCGCGCGCTCCCTCGAGGGCCGCATGGTGGCCGCCTGGCAAGCGGCCATCGTGCGCCCGGCGCGCGGCTGGGCGCGCGTCGCCGTCGGGTACGTTGGGGACGCGCGGAGCGGGATGGGGGCTCGGGGGCGGCCGGGAACGGCGCGTGGGGGAGGAGGGCGCGGGAGGAGAGCGGGGAGCGCAGCCCCGGACACGCACACGGAGCGGCAGGCGCGCGTGGCCGCCCCCGGCCTGCGCTTCCCCGGCTGGAAATGGGTAAAGTTTGGGGATGTCCCGCGGGTCCGAGGCGCCCGTCCCCCGCAGCCGTGCCCGTGGGCCCGCAGTGTGTCCATCGCCAGCATCGCCCGACCTGCGGCCCAAGGTTCGGCCCCCTCCGCCTCAGTAGCCGCGGGCCTGGGGGCTCCTTCAGTGGCCAGGGCGACAGGCCGCTTTCCAGGGCGGCCTTCCCCGTTTCCGTCCCTGGAAAGGAGCCGGCTGCCTTCACTTCATTCCCTGCTTTATTCCCTCCATGCTTTATGGGACCAGACACACGTATGCGCCAAGCACACAGGGCCTCCAAGTCCATCAGCAAACACCGAAGGTGGGTCCCAGCCCGGGGCTCCGTGTCCCTGGTTCTGAATTAGCCAGGCTCTGTCCACGCGTTTACAAGAAATGGTCTGGAAGATGGGAGCTTTTCTGGTTTTCTGTTAGACTTTTCTGATGCTTCGCTATTGGAGRGAAGGCGGCCTGCTGTTTTAGAAATGCGAGATGATGCTTTTCAAAATAGGCTTTTCAAGAGTTTCAGATGAAAAATGGGGTCTCTTGCTTCTTATAAACAGCAGCAGCAGCCGCCGCCTGCGCGGGAGCACTGGCTCTTTCAGCACGTGCGTGTTCTAGGTTGTGTTAACAGCAGTGGATGCTCCCCAGGCTGACCTGGGAGGAGGGGAAAAACCTTTTAGTTTTATTTTCAGCAGTTCTGAATTACTCGTAGACTTTAATTGTGGTGGACAGAGAGCAAAAACTCTTAACAGGGAAAATCCTGGTAACTTTGTATTCCTTAAGATAATGCTCTAACACCTTTGTTCATGTAGAAAGCCAGTCCTTGGTACTGCCAATCAATAAGTTTATTTCTTGCTGGAAAGCAAGGAGGAAGAGGGAGAGCCTTTGCTAAGGAAAGCTGGACCTCGGCCGCGGTTCTTCTGGCTATTCCTGTTTCTGTACCAATGGTTTAACCCTCCTGACTTTAATTTGTGCCCATTCTTTTTTMTTTTTGAGCAAGCACAAGAGAAAGTGCACGCTGTAACACGACGTAGGCAGCCACCTTTGGACATAAGTAGCTTACTGGTTTTCTTGTTTAAATTTGGGTAGAAAACTGACTGCAATGCTGGTGCTGAATACAACCCGTTAAACGGAGAACACTTCAGTGGAGAATTTCAGGAAATTCAGCTCCTTTCCCCTCCCCGGATCTTCTTTATTTTGCCTTTTTTATCACAAGGGCTGCCCACAACTTGACAGCAAACGTTGTGGCTCCGCTGTCCCCAYGTGCCCCAACGCACACGTGATCTTCCCCCAACGCTTTTTCCTCCTCTCTCACAGTGTCAACGCCTGCGTGGATGTCGTCCTGTCCGGTGTGAAGCTGTTGGAGGCGCTGGGCCTCGATCCTGGCGACGGCAGGAACCACGTTGTGCTGAATTCCGGGCAGGAGCTGCAGGAGACGTTCGCTTACTTCATGCAGAAAGGGGCGGCCGCCGAGCGCTTCTTCAGCGACGCCGACACCTTCCACCGCATCGCGCAGACGGCCTCCGAGGACCCCGATGCACAGGTACGTTTCCCACTGAAGACAAGGTTTGATGAGCACGCTCCCTATTTTCTGCATCTTTGGGGGCTCTTTTTCTCCTTCTAGTGAGGCTGCAAACCATCTGAGGGAGAGCAGTCCTAGTGTTTTGCCGTTGCTTGAGTATGTGGCTTTACACAGGCTTTCCCAAGCAGTAGGGCTTTGAACAGTTTATCCTTTGCTTGTTTTCCTAAAACTGAGCTGCATGGGTTTGGCTCTGGCAATCCAAGATGCCTGCATAAGAACCCTCCCAAAGATATTGTTGAAGATAGAGGAGCCACATGGGCCTGTTGCCATTCTTAACTTGTTGTGAGGAAGGAAAGATTCAAGCCAAAAATGCTCATAGTGCAAGATTTGAGTCCCCTCTAGAAGGAGGAGTGATGAAAAGCAATTAATAATCTTTCTGAAGCCTCCTTTTCCAAAAGCAAAGTTGTCTTGCTCTCATTTACACTGGGTCTTCTGAAGTACTGGCTTAATATCCACTTCGTTGTTGGCAAATTTCTACAACTGCTGTAATGCTACTTTATATGCAGCCTGGCAGCTGATTTTTAAGAACCWGGAAGAGCAACTTTTTTTGGTCAAATTCCTCACCACATCACTCTGTAATGTTCTTTATTGTGTTTTCAGTCAATCCGCAATACAACCATATGAATCTTTTTGATTACTTGAATTTCTGCATCTTTTCTCAGTTATTTCAGCACCTCAGATCCTCAGACTTTTGAAGTTCTGCTTATGATCTCAAACTGGGCAAAATATTGTTAAAATTCTCAGTCACTTCTTGTCAGTCTTGCATAGAAAATTAAGTCAAAATTGCCAAAAATATGTTACAGAGAAGTATGGACTGTTTATATTATGAATTAACTCTACAGGGTTGCAAGTTACCAAAAAGCAAATAATTATATTTAAAAAAAATGTTGAAAACAGATCTGAGAGAGAATTTTAAAACTATTTTGCCTTCAGCCCCAGGAAATGTCATTAAGTCCTCTTAATTAAGTCCTCTGATAACTTTCTCTTAACCAGTAAAATCTTAACCCTATTCAGAGCGCTAAGCATGTATAAAACTATCAAAAATGCCTTTATCTGCCTCGTTTCTTTTACAGCTCTATGTAGGAGGAAATGCGGCTCTTATTGGTCAGAAACTTGCAGCAAACCCAGACCTGAAGGTAGGTGTTCCAGAAAATCTGTTCCATTTATTCCCTTGTCCCCGGTGTGAGCGTGGGGGTCTTGCGGCGCGCTCTCTTCCTCAGAGTAGGGTTGAACCCCAGTTGAACCAGCCACATGGTTCCCTGCCCCTGACRGGCAGTTTGATGATGCCTTTCCTTGCATCACCGTTAGGGCTTGTTGCAACTTCCGCAGACCTTACTCAGCTTCCGAAATAGCTTGAAAAATAAATAAATAGAAACATTTCTGTCCTTGTAAAGTACAATCAGTTGTGTCCCGTCAGTCTGGTGAGRCCTGAACTGCCTCGCTGAATGGTCAGAGATGAGAGCTAGAGCTGACTGTAAGGGAACATGGGGCCAGAATGCTGGTGGGGACAAACGAATGGTGGGGATTGATCCTTGACTTTTTTTTTTTTCTTTTTGTTCTTTGTCACTGTTGTTTCCTAGATCCTCCTCTGTGGCCCAATTGGTCCAAAGCTTCATGAGCTTCTTGATGACAACGTAGTTGTGCCACCTGAATCCATGCAGGAAAGGGATGAATTCCATCTTATCTTGGAGTACCAAGCAGGTATCTCGGCAAAGGCTGAATGTCAGATGGGAAGCCTGAGCATCAAAAAGATTCGTGKGTTTAAAGTTTTTTTTTCTGAACTCCCTTGGAATCAGTTAATTCCAGAATTACTGTAGAAGTTATTGATACTAGCAGCTGTTATCACTGTTAGCTGGGCTAGCATGATAATTCCRTGTACTTCAGAGAGCCATGGCAGGTAAACAAACATCTTTGCCTCTTTTGAGACTTTTTTCCTCCTTTAGAATATAGTTCCTGTAAATACTGAATCATGAGCCATGAGTGTTGTTCAGGGTGTACTTTCATGCTGCAGTGTGGATCAAACTATCGAAAAGGAGAGGTCTCCTCTGCCCCCTCCTATTTGCACGTTCCGACTGTTTGGCTTGAGCTGGCTGCGATGGTTGCCTAATTGCCTAGCAAATACAGCTGATTAAAATGGCAGCAAGCTAACCTGGCAAAAGCAACCAAATACTGAATTTGCTGGGTGATCAGACAAGCATCTAAGTGAGGTAGAGGGAGCGAATGAAGGGAATGAATGGAAAAGGATCTTAGAAATCAAGACCTCTCACACTGCTGGTTGTGGCGTAGTCTTTGTGCAGTTATAGCCTCAGATTCCAGCAGGCTGTCCCCAAATACCTCCAATATGTGAATTGATTTGCTTCTCTCACAAAGCTGACTTTTCCCTTTGCTGCACCCTAGGTGAAGAGTGGGGACAAGTGAAAGCACCCAGTGCCAACCGCTTTATCTTCTCTCATGACTTATCAAATGGTGCCTTAAATATGTTGGAAGTGTTTGTGTCCAGCTTGGATGAATTCCAGCCAGATCTCGTGGTACTCTCAGGACTTCACATGATGGAGGGCCAGAGCAAGGAGATGCGGCAGAGACGGCTGCTGGAAGTAAGATAATTACACATCAGGCCTTCCTTAATTTTCATTGCAACACTTAGTGGGAAACTCTTGGTTCCTCAGGTTCAACTTGTCATTAGGCTGTGTCTTCAGCTCTCCATAGATCTTCTCACTGTTGCCTCCTAAAAGAAGAACAAGAACTGTAGGACTAATGTTTCTTGGAGTCAGTGGCTTGGCTAGGGAAAACAAAGTTATGCTCTGGTTGTCCAGCTGGAATAGATCAACCTAGTTTTGGAGCTTATCCAGTGGCTAAATTGCACTTTTTTCTATCCTGGATGCTAAGATGATCGAGGCTGTAATCAAGGCTTTTTTAAGCCTCATCTGCATTAGATAATCCAAGAGGGAATCTTCTTACAAATGAGCTACATTAAGTTCTTTATTTACAGATCTTTACCTATCTTGCAACTAGTGCCCTTCATGCTTCAGTGAGGCTTGGGAGATCTCTGCCAATCTGTTAGAAAAATGCTGCGTTGCAGGTAGCTTTCTTGCTCTGGGATTCTGAACTCTGTTTTTATTTCTTTCTCTTAGTTGTATTCTGGCACTTGTCAGAAAGCTCAATTAGAGTCCCGATTAAATCCATATATATGGGAAAATTAATCAGTGTGCATCTCTGGGACAAAGCCCCTTTGTCCATCCATACTGTTTCATAATGAACATGTTCTTGCCTTGTTTTCTCTTTCTCTGCCCCTGCAGGCTGTGGCCTCCATATCTGATATCCCTACTGACATTCCCATACATCTGGAATTGGCCAGCATGACTGATCAGGATCTCATGAGCAACATTATGCATCAGGTAACCAAAGTGATGGATTTCTATCAGTTACCATTTCTTCAGCATCACAGTGCACAGCTGGTAGATGATGATATACATGAAAGCTGACAGTTAGGGCTGTGCTGTTGGAGAACATGGGTTCAGTGTCTGCTCTTGCTTTCTGAACACCTGAGTTCCCTCTGCTGAGATTATCATCATTCTCTCCTGCAGCAAAGGAGAGCTGTAATGGCCTCTGCCCTAGCCCAGGACAGACTGTCTCTTTAGCTTAGAGAGGATTTTCCTTTAGAAAACCCATCAGTGAGAAATTCCAATTACAAGGTATCTTACGGTTGGTGGCCCTCACTCAGTTGATCAGCAGGCTGTTTTCAGCAACACGTGAGGGCTTTTTGCAAATCCAGAAATATGCAGGAGACTTAGCATACAGCTAGAGGTGCAGTCGCTCTCAAATGAAGAAAGGTCTTGGCAGTCACAGAGGGGGAGCAAGGGAATGCTCCCAGCTTCCCAAGTAACCCCACTTGGTTTGGTTTTAGCAGGCTTGCCATTTTCTAGAAGAACCAGGATTTGAAGCTGAGATGAGATTTTAATATAAGTCAAAAACTGGGCAGAACTTTTCCTGCAGATCCTGAAAAGGTCCCTCCTTTAACCTGGCAGAATCTCAGGGCTAGGAGTGTTTGATGTATTGCTGATGTTCTGGTACTTGCCAATGTCCAAGTGGGTATCTAGAAATCAGCTACACCGACGGAGTGTGCACCTTGGCATTTACCACTGCCCTTGCTAAGTGCCTCCTGCGCACTTGGCACCTGCATCTCTCCAGGAACCTGGGTGCTCTTCTGCCGTGCACGCRGTGAGCGCCCCTGGTGCCGCACGGATTGTGGGTGTGAAGGACAAACTTGTTGCTGTGTTTCTGTTAGCAGGTCTTTCCCCTGGTGAACTCCCTGGGGCTGAATGAGCAGGAGCTGCTGTTCCTCACGCAGGCTGCCTCCGGGCCCCACGCCTCCCTGGCCTCGTGGGATGGAATTCCCGATGTGGGCATCGTCAGCGACATCCTCTTCTGGATCCTGAAGGAGCACGGGAGGACCACGGACAGGGCCTCCGATCTCACCCGCATCCACTTCCACACCCTGGCCTATCACATCCTCGTGACAGTGGATGGCTACTGGGGCAACCAGGCGGCAGCCGTGGCCGCGGGCGCCAGAGCCGCAGGGACACAGGCCTGTGCAACTGACACTATCGACACCAGCAAAGTCTTTCTTAAAGCTCCTCTGGAGTTTGTGACCTCCCAGACAGAGGCCCCCTCCAAAATATCTTTAAATCCAGATGAGCCCGTGGTGCATTGGCACAGAGAAGGCATCTCATTCCACTTCACTCCCGTTCTGGTGTGCAAAGATCCCGTGCGGACCGTGGGACTCGGGGATGCTATTTCAGCTGAAGGACTGCTCTATTCCGAAGTGTATTCTCAGTAGCAGACCAAGACCCTACCTTTTCTCCAGGACTGTGTGGTGTCTGAGGAATCACGGTGTTCTCRTTAGGATTTCTGCCAGCAGTGGCATAGGAATAGAATTAGGGTGCGATACAATTTCTGGATATAGCTAAAAAGAGCCAAAGAGTAATTCCAGGTATAAGCTGTCAGATACATTCCAGTCACTTGGCAGTGACTCAAACGTTTCACATCTAAGTGCAGAGGTTTTCATATTTTAGAAAGCAAAGAYTGCCTTTTCTTTGTCTTAAGCATGTGGGGAGGGAAGCAAGTATCCAAATCCCTGTTTGGAGGAGATTTGCTGTCCGTAACCACGCACTGGTCTCGTCCGCTAGTGCTCCAGAGTGGAGCAGCCAGGAGACTTYCTTGCTTGGGGATCAGCAGTCCTGGGCCCTGCCTCGCTTCTGAGAAAGAGAAAATAAAAGGCTCCTGCATAATGTCCTTGCGCCACGTGGCTGCAGGGCAAGAGCAAACCTTGTGCTTGCTTGGTGTGACCATCATACTGACAAAATYACCTCTCAACCTCAATGCCCTGCACTGCAGGGAGCCAGAGCCCTGAAATGTGATGGAGGCCGCACGTGCTGCGGTGTGTGCAGCACCCACGCCACGCCGCGGCGGCCGCCCCACGGCGCTGCCTGCCTCTCTCCCACTTGTGTTCAGCTGAGCCTGGCAGCCTGCACTTAGGCAAGGAAAAGTGAAGATAATCAGGGTCTATATTTGAGGAAGCAGCTTTATTTACTTGTTGAATTAACCCAGGTAAAGTTCTGGGATTATTTATAAACTAAATACTGAGAATTTCCTTTGCTTCCTCTGCCAACAGTAGGTGCTTGTATCTGATCAGTTCCAGCTTCCAAAACAGCTACCGGCTGCTGGACGCTAAATTTTTGTTTGAGAACAGCAACTCCTCTGCTGTTCCCCTCCGCTCCACTCAGGAGAGTTAAGATATTTATTAGGCACAGTCCCTCTGGGGCCTGGAAAGCTGTGAAAGCAGCTTTTTTGACTGAAGCGAGGCTCTTACGCTGGAGGAAGTTGCTGATAATAGTTTCTTTGCTTTGGACAGTCTCTGAAATGAGGAAAAGAAATAGATCTTGTGTGTCTTCCCAGCCCAATGATGCCTAGTATCTTGGCATGACTAGTGTAGAAATCTTGCCAAATACCTTGTTTGTGCATTTTTCTAGTGCTAGTAGCACCCTCTCACTTGCTCAGGCTATTCTGCATCGACCCAGTATCTTCTCTGTTGCCTGTGTCTCCTTCCAAGAACTGTGGTGTGTTTGCAGTGCTGTCATACACGTTTTTCTGTATAAGTAAATTAAATGCAATCAATGTATCTATGCAAGCCAGGCCTGGGGACGAATCTGCATCTGAACGGAGGGCAGCGACACGCAGCCCCATCGCGTCGGCTGCAGTGASCGGGTGCTGCTGTCGTTTTCCTGTTGGAAAAGCTCTGTAAGGATAAAAATTGCAGCTGTTGTAACCTGCCTGAGCCCCGAACTGCCTGCCCGTCCCCGTGCAGCGTGTGCTCTGCAGGGTCTGCAGGGATCATCCCAACACTGGACTTCTTCTGGCCAGAACTGATTTTTGATGAATTGTTGCATGGGTCTCAGCTCTGTTTTAGTCTTTCTAAAGAAAAGACACAACCAAATGAACAGTGYCTGCTTTGAGCCATCTAAAGGCCTGAGGCCACCGGCAGGGTTGTTTCGGAGCCTTTGATCCCAGCCCAGAGCCACCAAAGGCTGCASAGCTGCAGAACTAGCTCTCTGCTCACGGCAGGTGCCCCTTTCTGGACATCAGGCCGAGCTGGGCGGATTCCGGAGCTGCAAACAGAGCTCGGTCTCCACAGGCTGCTACGCTCCCCGGTCCTGCTGCTGGATTTCACCCCTCTCTTCCAAAAGCAGTTGCTGAGACACAAGTTTGTTGGACTGTCATTGCCTTGGGGCCACTTAAAATCATGTAAAAGCACTAACAGAGCCTGTCACCTGCGAGGGGAGTCACCCTTGCTCTCCCCAGGAGCGTTACAGGCCTCTTGGTGTTTCTGTTCTGTTTTTTAAGGTATTTCAAATAAATAACTGCTGTAAGTACAAAATGAGTTTATCACTGGSAGCTCATGTGGGCCTAAAAACAAAACTCCCCTAAATTATTAGGAATTCCTTTGCTCTAGGCCCTGTCCTTCCTCACCAGGTCACACTCCTCGCTGGAGCCGCTTCCGRGTGCCAGGGGCTCTTGCTGCTGCTCCAGCTCTAGCTCTGCTTTGGCCGGGCTCACGTTGCACGRATGATTCCTAASGAGCAGGACCTGTTAATTAGCTATRCTGCTGCCATCGCTGATTACATCTGGAAACAACCTATGTGATAACAGAGCAGACAAGCAGCACCCATGCGCCCTCCTTCACTTCGTACCTCCCGTGCTGCAGACCTGTGGTGCTCCGTGTCCTCCTGCCTCCAATGCTCGAGGAGGAGAAGGGCCGCCGGGGCTCCCGGGAGCCTGTCAAGGTTGGCACCTGCCTGCMGTGACAGTGAAGCAGCAACGTGACGCCTCCAGCCCACTGAGAGGTTTGCAGCAAGTTCAGCTACCTAAAAATACAGCTGTGGATGCGCCATGGGGACGGGGCTTGCACAAACAGCAGTTGAAATGACTCCTGCTTCCCCTTGCCCTTAGCCTCCCTTTCGCTGCAGCTTCTTTTTTCCCCTTGTGCTTTAATCCTCAGCTGTCTCGTGCTGCCAGATACGAGAGGTGACAGCGGCAGTTCATGCTGGTCCCTGCTTGGTTATCTCCCCTTGCAGCAATTGCAATCTGGTCACGTTTGTTCTTTTCCTGCGAGTTTCTTTCACAGAACCAGAGCTGTTTTTTCCCCTGCCTGAAGCCCTAGTGCTCTTGGGCTCCTGCTTGCAGCGCAGCTGGAAGTTGAGGCAGTTGTCAAGGAGGGAGCAGCTCGGCGGGCTCCGTGCGGCGCCTGGCACAAGGCCCCRACCCGCGTGCCCGGGGCGGCGCGTCCTGCAGCGCTGCTGCCAGCCCCTGTGCTGCGCTGCTGGTTCTGGCTTCAGGAATCGCATCAAGACTCTGAGTACACTCAAAAGAACAGTGTAAAACAGGGCAAATACTGAGGTTTAGTCAAACTTTAGCCYAGCCTTCATGCAGCCCATGAACGATTATTCTCATGTCGGTTCAGAGATGTCAGATTAAGTTCTCTTCTGCCACAGCCAGAACAGTTTCTTGCTTCTCATCGCAGGTGGATCCCAGGCCCCATCCCGAATGGCCTTCTCGGGGAYTACTGACCCCAGCTTTGCAGGACGTGGCACTGCCGGGCRGAGCTGGGGCTCCSGCACTGGGAGCAKCCAGGGCTGGCTGGAAAAGGCGGCRCAGCCGGTGCCTCCAGCCGGACCTCCGGCATCATCCCGGGCCCTGGAACCGACCCGGCCCACAGCCTGTGCCCAGGGGCCCCRGCAGCTCAGCAGGACGAACGCTGAGGGGGAACGCTGGGAACAACAGGAGGGACCAGGAACAAAATCCTGAAAACTCCCCTACGAATTTCTCCGGAAACCTGCATAAAATGGGGTTTGTCTCCTGTGTTTTTCATTAAGAACCACTGCAGAAAATACCAACTGGGGCTGAAGGAACAGTAACGCTTTCCTAGCAGCACAACGGCTTCCTATTATCTAAAATAGTCTGGGCAGATTATTATAAAATGCCTTTTCCTTTTATTCCCTTCTGTACTATATTTACACGTAGAGCTCACTATTKTAGCAAAGTTGCTTTTTCTTCACCCAGCGCTAGGGTCTGACTCTCCCAAGAAAAGGCTTTGCCAGCAGAAAGCCCTTTGCCAGCGGGGAGGTGTGAGTGGAGGTGTCCGGCGCGGAACGGCGCCTGCCCCGTCCCGGCTCCGCGTGGGCACTCGCGCCGGAGCACGGCAGCAGCTCGACGCRGCAGCACTGCCCCGCACACCCCGCTTGGCTCGGGCCGCTCACATCCCCGCGGCCGTTCCCAATAAAATCGCTGCGGAATCAGTGAGGAACTCGCGGCCGACGCGAGGCCCTGCTGCCCCATCCCTCCTGTGGAGCCTCTTACACTCCCTTCCCGAGGAGGAAGGGAAAATCTGCAGTCTATGCCACAAGCAGCATGGTTTAACCTGGGTTATGAAGTACGTTTTTTTCCAGAAAGGGGGAGAAGAAAAAAATCCTGAAGCAGATGGCTCCTGCTTCCCTAAAAAGCAAGCTCATTATTCTTTCCATCTTATTTTTTTTCAGTTAAGGAAGGAAAAAAGAAAATGACAATTATGGCTGACTGAAGCAGGTTTTGGAGCATAAGGCTTGATTTCCAAAATCCCTAAATGACTTAGCACAGTGCTGCTGAAAAATCTCCCTTCATTTCAATTGAAAAAACACTCGAGACTCCTGCTCGCATTAGGTAGTGCAGTAGCTCTCCTACACACAGTATTAGGCTATAAAGCCTGYGAATTTACTCGGGCGGCAGAAGATGGAACAAGGAATTTCAGTTATATTTATTACCCAGCTGTAATTACGTATTTAAAAATACTTCCTCAGACATGAAGCCCCCTTCTGCTCTGCTCAAATCCTGAGAGTATCAAGGTGCTACTGCTCCTGTTCACGGAAGGAAGGATTGTATCAACCATCTGCTTGAGCACCCCGTGGTACCTTTACCTACACAAGCACCGCATTTGCCAAGGAAATAACAGGTTGTGCAAGTGGGACTGGCYGAGACTTGGATCTCTGCCTGGAGCTCGTGCCTCCCTGTGCTGGAAACGGTTCAGAGAGAGCAGACCAGGCTTCTACAGCCACCCCTGGCCAAGGGCTGCTCCCATCAGGTGAACGTAGCAAACTGGCTTCAAGCACCTACAGCCCCCRGCTGCCTTCCCCTGCCTTCTGCTCTGTGTCCAAAGCTTAAATTAACCAGCAAAACGGGTGGAAAACTCAGCCTTCCTCCAGCAGCAGCGCCAGTGCTCACAGCCCGTAACCTCACTGCCCTGGTCACTGCTCTCGAGCAATTGTTAGAGGGGAAACTGGTCTTGAGCTGAAGTTTTGGGGCTGAAGAGCTCCCACRCTGCCTGCCCTTGCTCTGCAATCCCAACCTCCTCTTCACAGGCACCCCRGGACGCTGCTTCAATGGAAAAACTTTAATGTGAACAAAATTGCTGCCTTGTCCCTGGCTTACACTGCTGCTTGTCCATCTTGTGCTGGTCTGAAAGGGCTTCACTACAGAGCCCGTTTTCTTCGGCGCCTGCATGAGGGGAAGGTCAGGGCAGCGCGGGAGGGAGGCGCTGCGAGGCCGAGGCCAGCAGGAGAGGCCGGCCTGGATGAGGCCGCGCGGGGCCTCCGCAGGCAGGAGCGGGAGGCGCAGCGGGGCCGCTGCTCTGCTGGGGCTCCCTGCACAGCACGGGGGSTCCCGCTCGGGCTCGCGGGATGCATTCGTGTCACTCCGCTAGGAGCTGCCAGCCACAGAGCGCAGCTGGGGGACGTTCGGGCACCCAGAGCCTTCATCGCGCAGCTTTTGCACCGTTAATGTGGAAAGGATCCCACTACCAGCCCTGCTCTTGCACTTACCTATGGACTGATATCATGCAACAGCCAATGAGTGGATATGTTGAGCCCAAAGCTCCAGCTTGGGTSGGGGAAGCGCTGCCTGCTCTCTGGGAAACTCGGATCAAAAGATCCCACAGCAACGTGAACTTTGGCTGCTTTTTTCTCTGCACCCAGAGAAGAAACMAGCTGCACTTAACCCAGGCACTGTCCTTTACACAAAGCAGGATGCAGCTGCCGTGTTTAGTGCCCCAAAGCTGTATCTGGACAAGGTCCAGACGTAGCAAAGTGGTCGCAGCAGAGGAAGGAAAGCTGGATGTTTCTGTTCCACTAGAAAAACGCTGTCAAAACATCTCCAGTAACACGTAGGCACTAAGAATCCCTTCTCTGCTCAGCAATGGGATGCTTTGCCTTCCTGCAGGTGGCATAAATTATTTCTCCCCCAAAGCTATACTGTAAGGAGGGCAAACTCAATTATTCAGACTGTGCCTGTTGTCATACTAAACGTTATCATCTCATCATCTSCTCTCCCTCGAAAAGCCTCCCTTTTTAGTCTCCATCTCCCCCCGCACTCCTTCTGTGCGATATGAATTCGAGAGGGAGGGTTTTGAGGGCACGAGCACCAAGCTGAGTCGGGCTCACTCACCCTCAGCAGAGAGTTAGGGGTCGGSCCCCGGCCGACACGGTGCTGCTCCGGCCAGGCTGCTTTCCTGCCTCACGCCTACGCTCGTCTGCACCTTCCTTTGACTGCCAAGAGCTCCCACACAGAGCAGCCTGCACTTCAAAATCTGCTCCATCCAGCTCCGCCACCTTTCACAGCAGCCACCCATAAGGGAACGGGCTCTAAAGGTGCCTCTCCCTCTGGCCACGACTTACGCTGACGGGCTGCTCTGGAATGTCTCCCTCTCCGGGCACATCAGCGCTGACCTCCCTGCAGCTTGCGAGGACCTTCCCCGGCTGCCGAGCAGCTCAGGCATGGCAAGGAGCTGCTCCTCTTGGCCGTCGCATTTTTCCAGGGTGCTACRTCGCTGCTGCTGGCTTTTTCTGACCAAGCATCCCTCCGGAGGCAGAGAGAGCCAGCGGCAGCGTGGGGAAGCATCTCCCCGCGTGAGGGGAGTAGCGACCACGCCAAGAGCAGCTGTGTAGGAGCTGCCACCAGGCCGCCGTGGGACAAGGCAGGGGCCACGTGCTAAGATCTCTACCAGCAACAACCGTGTGGGGCTACGT